CCGCCATAGAAATAAGCCATCTATTGTTGAAGAAAGTAAGGATTAAATCCTTGCCCGAAACAAACTTTTTGTGATAGAATTAGAAAGGAGATTGCTTTGCTGTCAACGTTATCATTTTCTATTTGTTAAATGATGGCCACGTCTGTATGACATGTCTTATTTGTTACCACATCACTATGCCAACTATGTAGGTTAACTTGGTTTCCAGTTAGTTTTTAACATAATGACTTATTTGACAGGTAAAACGTACCTTCAATGGCTTATTACGCAAAAAAAACAAAAAAAAATGAATGGTCAATCCGAGACAAACACAAAACTTCGTTGTGCTACGGTGTCAATATCTCTATCGTTAAATACACAACCTTTACCTATTATTGACAACACACTTTCAACACATAAAACATCAAAATTGACAACAATTTTTCTTTTGCCTATAATGTACAACTTTGACACAATTCTTAATAATCTATAAATACCAAAAACGGTTGGATTGACTCATGTAGACAATAAACCTTAAATGAAATTTAAACAAAATAGAAGGAAATAAGATGTGGAAAGAAGAAAACAAACATACACTAAAATTCTTTATTACTCTCAACACATAACATATCAAAAGTAACAACACTTTTTTCTTTTGCCTATAATGTACAACTTTGATACAATTCTTCATCATCTATAAATACCAAAAACGGTTAGATTGGCTCATGTAGACAATAAACTTTAAATGAAATTTAAACAAAATATAAAGGAAAAAGATATAAGAAAACAAACTTACTTTAAGCTTCTTTATTCTTGTGCAATATAGATAACGAAAACAAAAAAAGAAGACAACCAAATGCATCTTATGTACAAGAAAATTTTCAATTAAATAATCATTAAGTAGCATAAGGTAAAGTATTAGAGGTTATATTTGTAATTTAAACATAGAGGAAGGGTCAGTTTGTAAATATTATGTTAGTTAGTTAGTTAGACAGTTGAGGTGTTAGTAGTTCAGTTAGTTTTCCTTCCTCTCTCTTTTGTATATGTACTGATTTAGATTCAGTTTCAATTCAACTGATTGATTTCCAATCTTTCAATTTGTAATATGGTATCAGAGCAGAAACGATAGCTTCCGTTTCTCTTTTTGTTCATGTTCGTTCTTTCCTGTTCTTCATTCACAAATTGTTTCTTGTGAATTACTAATTTTCTTTTGGCGATTTCAGATTCACAAATTGTTCTTGTGAATCGTTGCGTTTTTCATTTCCGATCAAATCACAAATTGCTCTTGTGATTATCATTATATTTTCTTTACAATGGCTGCTAATAATTCGAATTCGAGTTCATCTCCAATCGACGATCGTATGTCTCCATACTACATGCATCATTCAGACAATCCTAGATGTATTCTTGTTTCTCAACCTTTAATTGGTGAGAATTATCCTTCTTGGAGCAGATCTATGTTGATTGCTCTTTCTGTGAAAAACAAAGTTGGATTTGTTGATGGATCGTTACCTGAACCACCGTTGACTGAAGCTATTAATCGTGATTCATGGATGAGGAACAATAAGCTTGTTATCTCATGGATTTTGAACTCTGTTTCTAAAGAGATATCTACTAGTATCATGTTTGCTGATTCTGCAAAGGATATATGGAATGATCTCAAAGATCGATATGAACAGAGTAATGGTCCTTGTATTTTTCAGATTCGTCGTGAAATCATGAATCTCAATCAAAATCAAGATGCTGTTGGAGTTTATTTTACTAAACTGAAATCTCTAACCGAAGAACTCGAGAATTTCAGACCAAGATGTTCTTGTGGAAAATGCGATTGTGGTGGAGTCAAGGAAATTGAAAAATATTTTCAATCTGAACAAATTATGAATTTTCTTATGGGATTGAATGAATCCTTTGCTCAAACAAGAGGTCAAATCTTGTTGATGGATCCATTACCAGCAATCAATCGTGTTTTCTCACTGGTAGTTCAAGAAGAAAAACAGAAGATGCTTTCAAACAATCAAAATTCTTTGGCATTTCTTGCCAAATCTACCCGTGTTAATTCTAACAGGAATGTCAACAACTCTAATGCTGGTCAGAATCAAGCCAAAAAGTATCAAAATAACAAAGACAGACCTTATTGTTCTCACTGTAAGTTTCAAGAACACACGATTGATAAGTGCTACAAATTACATGATTACCCTCCAGGTTATAAACCTAAATCAAAAACTAATCATGTTGCTGCTGCTGTGATGAATGATGATATGAATTCTCCAATAACTGATGAACTTAGCAACATGTTTCGAGGATTTTCTTCAGCACAATGCCAACAAGTGATGTCAGCCCTGTCAAACCACATGATTTCTGTCAATCCAAATAAGAATACTTCAACAGGTAAGTGTTATTCTCTTACTATTAAAAACGGATTGGGTTCTCATATGTGGATATTAGATTCAGGGGCATCTCAACATGTGTGTCATGATATTAATTTGTTTATGAACAAGAGAATGGTTTTTAATCATACGGTTACTCTTCCAAATAAAGTAACTCTACCTGTTCATATGATTGGAGATATCAAGATTGATTTCTTGTTCATATTAAAGGATGTTCTCTATGTTCCTGAGTTTGATTTGAATTTGATATCAGTTAGTGCTCTTACAAGATCTCAGCATCTAATTGTTCAATTCACATGTCACAATGCATATATTCAGGATGTTCATCACAAGAAGAGGATTGGCAAAGATGACAATATTCAAGATTTGTATGTCATCAACAACAACGGACAACAAGTTTGTAATTCAGATTTAGATTCAAGAATCAATATTGTTTCTTTAGATTTGTGGCATAAGAGATTAGGACATCCATCTAATAATTGTCTTGTTCCTATTAAGACTTTTTTGGATGTTTCTATTACTCATAGTGATTGTAAACAACATTGTCCAATTTGCCCTTTGGCAAAACAAAAGCAGCTTCCATTTCAATCTTTTAACAATATATCTGATGAATCTTTTGCGATTATTCATTGTGATATATGGGGTCCTTATCAAGATCAAACCAATAATGGACAAAGATATTTTGCCACAATTGTTGATGATCACAGTCGATATACATGGATATACTTGTTGAAACAAAATTCTGATATCAAAAGTATTATTCCAAAGTTTTATGCTTTTGTCCAAACTCAGTTCAACAAGAATATCAAATGTTTTAGATCAGATAATGCTAAAGAATTAGAATTCAAAGATTTTTTTTGATGAAAAGGGAATTATACATCAAAAATCATGTGTTCGAAAACCACAACAAAACTCAGTTGTGGAAAGGAAACATCAACATCTGTGGAATGTAGCTAGATCATTAATGTTTCAATCACAAATTCCGATTTGCTACTGGGGTGATTCAATTCTGACTGCAGCTTATCTGATCAATCGAATTCCATCAAAAATTCTTGAATTCAAAACACCATATGAATTGTTATATGGTGAAGTTCCAAATTATAAACATATTCGAATCTTTGGATGCTTGGCCTATGCTTCAACTTTGCCAAATCAAAGAAAAAAGTTTACTCCCAGAGCTAAAGCTTGCATATTTTTGGGATATCCACCCAATATGAAAGCTTATAAACTTCTTGATCTTGAAACAAATCAAACCTTTTGTTCAAGGGATGTTATATTTCATGAATCCATTTATCCATTTCAAGACAAAAACTTCTTAACAGCACCTTCAGATCCTTTTTCTAACATTGTCTTGCCTATGCCATTTAATAAACACATTCCTCATTCTATTCCTGATCCAATACCAACACCTGTTCAAGCTACACATTCAGATCTGAATTCTGAACAAACAGGAGAATTAAGAAGATCTCAAAGAAATCATCAACCTCCTTCATATTTACGTAATTATCATTGCAACATAGTGTCTCATTCTTCTACACCATACTCTTTGGATTCTGTTTTATCGTATGATAAAGTCTCTAAGAATCACAAAGCTTTTGCTATGGCTGTTTCTGTAATATAAAGAGTTGGGAAGTTTTAAATTAATATGGTTTAACATAGATGATTTATCTTCAACCACATTCATTTGAAATGCGTCTTTTATAAGAGATAGATAGCTTAATTCAAGTTTTATTCCTAATTCATCGTACATCGCTATTGCTAAAACTTAATTCCTCCAAATTCTGGAAAAAAAAAGCAATTAAATCCCAAGACAACTGAAGGATACGTCACAATTGTTCAATAAAAAATAAGAATTAATATATTAAAGCATTTGACTTTGTGTTGCTTCTGTAGATTAAATAAAAGGGAGCATAGACTTTTAAAATACACATTTGGCAGACCATAGCAGTTTGTAATTTCGAATAGGGGACAAGATCCATCCGTGAAAGTGCTGAAGATTGAAGCTGTAAAGCTGGAGGCTTGTTTGCTGTATCCATGTGACTTCCAAGTCCATCTATTCATTCTTTTTAATTCTACAAATAATGCATGCATACTTGTATATTTTATTATCCACCCAGCTCTCATCTTCATGGGAATCTGTTTCTTTTTTCTTTTTTTAATTCAGAGCTACTTGATAATATGCACATGGTCCAAGTATGTATATATTAGCCAAGACCATCTTAACTGGGTCATCAAACCCTAGCTACTTTAGTATTGCATAAACTCTTCTAGTCTGTTATGTACAGATTAGCTTGCTTTAGCTAAGGACATGTTACTGGTCATGTCTAACTGTATTTTCGGATGTTACTATGATTGATTACCAGGAACAAATCAGTAGACAGCGGATAAACTCTATTATGGGAAAAAACAAAAAGTAGGAGACAATTTTTGCTGTTTAGAATCACTGTATAACTCTGATGACAAGAGCAGTCAATTAATTTTGTACAGAAAAAGTAATTAATATAATCAATACAAGCAGATATTTGAAAACCTATAGAAAAGATATGTATGATACTCGTACATTTGTGAGTGTTTAAAATGTTTTCATATCAACCCCCAGCAGCCCCTCTTTATAGACCACTTACAGGCCCCCCATTAGATTTCGGATGTTGATGAACCTTCATACACAACTTCATCGACTTCTCTCCGGTGGAAGCTCCGGTGGCAGCCACAGGCGGCACACACAAGGGCAGCTGTTGTGCCTTCTTCTCCACTTGCCATGAACTCCCTGCAGCCATCGACAGCATACCCTCCGATGTTTGCCGCGTGATTCTTCTGGCACTCTCCATAACGAATTCTCTGAATCATGGATGCACTTGAAGTTCTATTAGAATTACTCTTCTTAACCACCACTTGACGTTTCTTCATTGCTCCAGTTTAACCCCCTCTCTCCTCTATCTGAATTAAACCTTATTAGAGGAAGAGAGAGATTTTTGAAGTGTGTAGCTATGAATCAAACCCTAGGGCTTGTATACATGCCATTATATACTTGGATTTTAGACAAAATGAATTTCCCACTTGGGGAAAAAAGAATTATGCCATGAATGTGCATTACTGAAGCACTATGTGATGTCTTCTGATTTCTTTTGCTTTAGCGGTTATTTAAATAGGGCAAAGAGTGATCTTGAGGCATCTAGGTTACTTTCTTGAGTGGCCAGTAATGGATTGACACGATATCCCAAAACAAAATCCAGTTATTGCGTCAATAAATTGACCACATACAAAATTACAATATGTTTGGTCGATCCATTTCTACCTAATATTTTGACTACAAAGTGATTAGACATGGCATTATCATCCCACTAGAAAAGTTTAATATTCCGGCTTACTTAAACCACTATTTTAAGTTGACGGTTTGATTAAAATATTATTCTTTTAAATATTTGAGTTTAATTTTTTATTTTTATTTTTCAATGAAAACAAGATTATATAATCCTAATGATTCAGTTGTTCAAAAATAGGAATAGACCTATTGAGATTTATGTGTTCAATCACACAATCAAAGCCCTTTTTACACATTTATAGTCGATTTTATTTTATCAAAACATATAGTACACCTACTTAAATATATTATTCTTTTTTACTTAAAACACACACATCACTAATTTGAATATGATTTGATGTGAATAATATGCATGCTCTATTAAGTTTGGGTCCATCTTTGCCTCTTTTTGCCTCTAAAATATACTCTCTATATACCGAAATGTTTACGACCAATGAACAAATTCAGTAATACATAAATGATTATGTTGGCCATGATTGTTCAATCACACAAACAGGGAATAAAAACATTTAGTTGGTTGATGCTTTACCAAAAAATAGATGTTTGAATCCTCATTAATTTTATCACATACTTTGTTTTTCATTTATAGTAAAAATATATTACCTAATTTATTTCGTAAATGTCATATGATTTAAATGCTAGTTAAGGGAAATTTTGTTAGAAGTAGTAGATTTTCAGCGGTAGATAGGATGTGCTGGAATGAAAAACAAACTCTCTACATTCACTTTCATGTGGCATCTATAAGATTAATTAGTGAAAATCACTTTAACGATAAGAAATGTATTTCATCAAAATTTACAATACAAGAATACAATAGATGTACAATGAACGGAAATTATATACAGAAAGAATAAAGAGATGTACATTAACAGTATCATTTCCTCTTTTACTTGAAGGAGATTTGCGACCCACCCGCGCTTGGCAGTAGTGTTTTCCATTCCTTGATATCAAGATTCATAGCTCAATGAGACACAATAAGCTCTTTTTTTACTCTCCAAGAAATTAAGTTGTTGTCAAGGAAGATGGAGTAAACATAAGTACAACGGTGAGTCTTAGTCTAGCATGTGTAGTCAAATTAGTCCTAATACCTTACATAGGAATATGTATGAGGATGTTAAAATAAGACCCCATTTCATCGAGTACATTGCATATATCGAATAATGTGTTTCCTTACTTTAAAGTGATCATAAGTAGAGCATGAAAAACTTTTACTGCCTCGATCGATTAACCATATAAGAGAGATACAGTCAAGTGATCGTTAGATACTAAAGTACATCCAAAAGAGATCAACATATACTGGCCCCAAAACACGCGAGCCAATACTAGAAAACTTTATCATCCTTAATTTTGTAAACACTTGGGATTTTAATTTACTATAAATGTAACGTCGCACAAATACTAGATAAAGTTTTGTTTTTAATTCAACCAAAACATTCATTAATTACTTTCAAAAGTAGAGATAGTATCAAAAGTATTTCACCATAACATCAAAGTGGTAACAAAAATCATAAGTATGCAATCTCCTGTGGATGCGATGAAATCATGCCAGACTCTTCCCCTTGGAACCAGAAGTACCTAAAATATTTTAACCACGAAACCGTAAGAACAAAGCTTACCGAGTTCCCCAAAATACCATATGCCATACATAACATGACAGGTCTATTTCAACCCAAGAGGATGCTATGGGCCAAATCATAGTCTTACTCCCTTCCATCGCCAAATCATGGCGATTACTTGTACAAGTGTCAGGGGCTAGATCATGGTCTTCCATACAATTGTTAAAGGGCAAACCCTGGTTTTACATCCAAATGCCAGTGGCCAATCCTAGTGTTTCATACAAATGTTAGGGGCCAAACCCTGGTCTTCCATGCAAGTATCACAAAGACAACTAACATCATACATAATATAGTGAGAAAACTCACCCCGCAACGCAGCAAACAGCTAAGCAGCTCACACAGCCCATAAATGGGTACTACACACCCCATACCGAATCATATAAGGTAAACCCTTGCTCTACCTTTCAAAACTAGCATTTTTACCACAAGTCAAAATTGGTCAAAAATCAACAGTCAAAGTCAATGTTAGTTGACCTTTACATCGAGGTCATCCATTGGCCACATCGTGGGACCTTCTCGACAAAACAATCATGTCAGGGCCAGCTACCACGTCGTGGAACCTAGACATAAACATTTTAATGGATTAAGCTCTCCTCCAATTAATTTAAGAGCTTCAAAGCTCAGATCCGATCCCCCTTAAGGTCAAGATGGATAAGTTTCCAACTGTATCCATTAATACCACTCAATAAGTCAAAATCTCTAATCCCTAAGCTCTTAATGGTTGCACCAATTGCATGAACACCACACAAATTCATGCAAGGTCAATTCTAACCAACACCATGGTTTAGAAGTTAGATAATGCACTCAAATGCTATGGAGTTCACCCAAACTCCAAATACAAGAAGAATGGGACTAAAAAGCTCATAAAATGACACAATATGAGATCTAAAGATATAATGAATAAGGTTGGGATTTTATACCCACTCAACGTCAGAAATGAGATAGAAATGTTATATCCAAAGCTTATCCAAGATTCATATCCTCACTATGGACTCCTTCTTCTTCCAAGATTCAGAAAATGGCTTCAAACTCTTAAAACACACACACACAAGCTAGGATTTGAGTAAGGGTCGTTCTAAGATGATGGAGGTTGCTAATGAGGCAACCCTAGGATTTAATACCTTTAAATAGGGCACTAATCCCGAAATCTAGGGTTTTGAACCCTATCCGCCTGCACACTGTGGCCAAGATCTTGCCACGTCGTGGTGATTCACGATTGCGCGTTTTTTGGAACCGGGCTTTCACTTCGTGGTGTTACAACTCTCCCTCGACTTGAATCAGATTTCATCCTTGACATCTACTAATGCAAATAACTTCGGATAATTCTCCTTCATCTCGTCTTCAGGTTCCCATGTCCATTCGAAACCCTTCTGGTTATGCCATTGCACCTTCACCAAATCGACATCCTTGTTGTGTAAGAACTTCGTCCTCCTGTCAATAATCACAACAAGTCTCTCCATGTAATTCAGGCGATCATCGACCTGAATATCATCCAAAGGAACCACTTCAAAATCATCGGCTAAACACTTCCATAACTGAGAGACATGAAATGTTTTGTGAATCTCACAAAGCTCGGCGGGTAAATCCAATCGGTATGCAACCTTTCCCACTTAGGCGATAACTCTGAATGGGTCAATGAATCCGGGCCTAACTTCCCCACTTCCAAAAGAGGATGACACCTTTCTAAGGAGAAACTTTTAGAAGCATAAGGTCTCCCACCTAAAACTCAAGGTCAGAGCGGTGTTAGTCATCGTAACTTTTTTGTCTTCTCTGTATGGTACACAACCAATCATGCACCTACTGAATCGACTCAATAGTCTTGAGCACCACTTCGGTGCTCCCCATCACTTGCCGACCGACCACACCTTAACAAATTGGTGTCCAACATCTTCTCCCATAAAGAAGCTTAAAGGGATGCATACCAATGCTGGCGTGGTAACTATTGTTGTATGAAAAGTTGGCTAAACGAAGGTAGGTATCCCAAATCCTAACAAAATCCAACATGCATGCAAAAACGTATCCTCAAGGGTTTGAATAGTCTGCTCACTCTGCCCATCAGTCTACGGGTGGTAGGAAGTACTGAAAAGTAACTGACTACCTAACTCCTCGTGGAATTTCCTCCATAAGTGGGAAGTGAATTGGAAATCACGATCTGAAACCATAAATATTGGAACCCCATGTCGTGCAAACACCTCCTCTATGTAGATCTCGTCTAACTTTTCAGCGGATGAACTCTCCCGAGTCAGGATGAAGTAGTCGCTCTTGGTTAGCCTATCGACAATAACTCAGATAGAATCAACTCCACATGCCATCCTTGCCAACTTCATGATAAAGTACATAGTGATCTCCTCACATTTCCACATGGGAAAGGGTAACGGCTCCAACTTGCCGTGCGGTCTCTGATGTTCGGCTTTGACGTTACGGTAAGTCAAGTACCGCTGTACGTACCATGCTATCTCTCTCTTCATATATGGCCACAAATAGCTCAGTCTCAAGTCTCTATACATATTTGTGGCCCCCTGATAGATCGAAAACTTCGACTTGAGAGCTTCCTCCAATAAAGCCTACCTAACCCCACAAGAAGTTGAAACCCAAACCCTACCGCACTTAGTCAATAACATGCGACTATCTCTGACAAATAACGAAATCTGACCCCTAATCCTCTCTTCCTTCCAATTCTCCCTCTTTAATCCCTCAACCTGCGCATCCTTAATCAAATATAATAAGGGTGAAGTGATACTCATGCTCAAACATATGTGTCGAATAGGTGTATTGATTGTCTTGTGACTTAAAGCATCGACCACTACATTGGCCTTCCTAGGATGATACAAGATCTCTTAGTCATAATCTTTAACAACATCTAACCATCTTCTTTTACTCATATTCAAGTTCGGCTGATCCATCAAATATCTCGGGATTCTTGTGATCCATATAGATAGTACACTATATACAAATGATGTCACCAAATC